GGCCATGGCAACTTCAGTCCAGGTTTCAAGGATGTCTCCATTTATGAACCTGAGCAGGACATGTGGCTCAATCTGGAGCCAGCGCCAAAGATCCTGCGAGATGTAAAAACAGTGAGCGTGGAGGATCGCTATGTGTACGTCATGGCCAGGACCCCCGTAGATATAGACAGCGATGATGGGCTGAGCACGGTGACCACCTGCTACGATACAGAAAGCCGCAAGTGGCAGGAAGTGGACTCGTTACCGCTTATTGATGCCTATTGTAGTTTTCAAATGGCTGTTGCATCCAGCAACTTCTATCACACAGCTTCCTGTTGCCCCAAGAACTACACGGTAACACATGAGGCTGCCCAGCAGAAAATAAGCAGAAACATCTCAGAGGACATCCTCGACAGCCTCCCGTCAGAGGTCCTCAGCCTGGAGGGCGCTGCCATTTGCTACCTGGGTGAAGACATCTTCATCATCGGCGGGTGGAGGAACAGCAACCACGTAGAAAAGCAGTACCGCAAGGAGGCCTACCGTTACTGCGCCAAGAGGAAGCGCTGGATGCTGCTGCCGCCCCTGCCCCAGCCACGCTGCCGTGCGGCGGCCTGCCACGTTCGCATCCCGTACCAGTACCTCTATGGCTCCCAGCGTTACCCCGTCCCCCACAACCTGGCTCGCCAGCGAGACCGCATGCAACAGATGCAGCAGCTCCATCGGCGCACCCTCAGCCTGCGGAGGCAAATGCAGTCTCAGATTGAATGTTAAGAATCAGATATTCTGCTTTAAGTCATTAGCACTTCATCTGCTGATAAATGCCCTGCTGTTATCTCAAGACTTTGTTTCAGTTATTTTATTTTATTTTATTTTTACCTTAATTGAGGTGAAATGTTTGCGCCATTTTTCCTGAAGCGAGTTTGCAGTGAAGGAAGCTATGAGTCTAATCATTTTTGGCCTTACATTTTTTTAGCTCATGCCTTACTTTTTATCGTGCCAGCAAATAAGACTGCTGTTGGTTTTGTTTACGAAACAAATCACAGCTCAGCTTTTTAAACCGCGGCCTTTGTTAGCATCTTAGATAAAGGATGTCAATGTTTCCTGTGTGTGCAAAACAAAAACAACAAAACTATGTCATGAGAAAACTTTGTGTCAGGAAGCATACTTGGCAAAGTAAATGATGTCTATTTATTGTGATGTATGTTAGAAGGAAATCATGAATTACAAAAACTAATTAAATAGCTAACTTAGAAAAGAAGTATCAGCTGCTTTAACTGTTTGCTTTCCTTTCCGTTGTTGTCATTGAGGGTTTTTTTGCACAGTATGCATTGGAATAGTGATGATCGTATACTCTGTGCCTAAACAGACAATCACAATTTCGTAGCAAGGACTGAATGTTGACAAAAAGCACACGCTGTGGGACAGCTTGACTTTGGATGTGTGTGTGTGATTTATTTTAAGCTGGTCAAAAGAACAAAAATCTCTATTTCATATATACGATTTCTGGAAAGATGGACTAAATACCACAATGATAATCCAAGTATCTGATTTTGTGTTTAAATACGACGCTTTCCCATTTCACATCGCAAGGACAACCGCTAACAGATCCAGCCACTGACAGCAGTATCTTTGTGAAAATGTTTGGTTTGTGGGTTTTAATGGACTTGTTTGGTGTTTGCTCTGCATTTACGCTTCTGGCAGAATCTGTTTAGTGTTTTTGTCTCGGTGAATGAAAGCACATATGAACATTGCACTGTGGAAAGATTTTTAAATGTGCTTAATACACTAAACCAGCAAGACGATGTGTTATTTTTGTGAATGGTTATCATTTTCCCACTGTGCCAATAAAAATAAGACCTGTTCCTTAGTGACACCATTGATTTATTTTTCTTACTGCATTAAAGGACCTTGAATGTTAGCTTTACTTCTGAAGAACGTTCCTTTGAGTTTAGTGACCCCCTCAAACATACCATGCTGGGTGTAGTGAATAAAGAGAAA